ACCTTGTCCTGCTGAACTTGTATGGGTGGAATGGCCTACCAGTTGTCATATAAATAAATATATATCTATCTATCTATCCATCTATCTATCTATCTATCTATCCGATAAGTATGCAAATGCATCAAGTGCTTTCCATCCCTTTCAAGCATGTAGATGACTTCTTTTGTTAAATTTTTGGAAGCTTGCCTTGAAGCTTTTCAATTCCTTCTCCCCGAATAGACTATTGTCAACCGCTTTCGTGAAAACTTCCTCAATCCCATCATTTTTCTGCCAGAGCCCTGTGATGTTGGAGCATATACCATCAATCTTCATGCAACCGATGTCCTTCACGCAATCATCTTCCTGAAAGTTGCAATTGGACCTATGATATGTTCACAGGCAAGTTTTTTTTTGCAAACATGCTCGGATGTGGTCGGTTTCATCGTCCGCTTCGACTCAACAGAACAACCGTGGCCAGTTCGTTCGACTCATCGCGGTCATCGGTTGGAAGTTGGGGCGAGGAGTCGGCCCTGTGGGGCCGGAGAGGCTTGCCTCACAGGTAGCCTCACAGGGCCACCCGCTATTTGTTGAACCTGGCCAGAAGGACGAAGGACGGTCCTTCAACCATGACCAAAGGTTTGCATTGCGTCCCAGTTGAGTGGGCACGTGGTTGACGAAGGTGGTCAGTTGCGAAGCTGATCCACATGTATATACTGTAGACATATACATACGGGTTTTGATGGGCCTATCTCATGTGTCCAAACATACTCGAAATTAGAACGGCTGCAAACCTATCTCGTGTGTCCTGGCACTGCCAGAATGCTGTGAGACTTTCAAATTTGGGAACTGTGCCACAGTCGGGACAATATGAGATGGGATGCGCAATGAGTGACAGTTGGCAAAAGACATGTAAGTCGAATTAAACGAGCTAAGCTAAACATGCCTTGCTTGTCAAGAAAGGGCCAAAATAAACGTCCACACGTCAACTGTCCATTCCTTCTTTTGCACATTGCTTGGCCCTGACGCCTGCACTCTCCTTTGTCTAAGAGCCATATGATCCAGAATCATTGATCTGGACACCAGTGGTACCAGGTCAGCGTTTTTGGCGTGGAAGTAGAATTGCTAATAGCGCGGCGGGTGATTTCTTCTTGTTCCAGTTTCTTCTTGGTACTTAATGTTGGAACTGTTTCACGTTTCGCATAGTAAGGCAGTTCGAAGCCTTAGCTGCCAATAGAATGATGCATGACTGGCAAGCATCGCGTGGAAGGATGGGCGGACGGGGCGCTATAGGTGATGTTCGTTGTGGAATTTGCCCGGGGAGGGACAGAGGCGGAGGGGTGTGGTTGTCATCACCATGACAGTGATTTTGTTCCGTGAATTATATATTGAATAAATAAATAAAAATATATATATATATATATTTACTATATATTCTACATCCCGCAACTTTGTCAAGCCATGTGGTATGAATGTGTTTCATGTCCTTCATGGATGTCTAAATCTAGGTGGGTGAACGTTCAAGTGATAGAGAAATATGCCCGTGTCAATGCATGACTAATCCCAACATGTGACCTTCTTTGTGTGTCACACTCTCCAAACAGATCGGAGTCTGACAGTTCCCCAAGGTCGAAAAAGGAGAAGAAGAAGAAGCGCCGAAGCAGAACCCCGTGAGAGAAAACACCGAAGCTGAATGGGGTGGTTGGCGTCCTCACTATGAAGAGAGCGAATGGGTATATTTATAAGTAGTAGTTTTGGGGCATTGTTTTGGGAGGGGAGGGGTGGCTGGACACTTGGAACTTGATATTGAGGAGATCTTCAACCTAGCCCATCATGTGAAGTTCCAGAAATTGATTGATAGAGCACATGTATGCCTGGGACACAATGTTCCCGTTGGAGAGCCAGGCTGCTCCACTGATCAAATCAGCATAGTTCACATGGTTCGCAGGAAAATACATCCAATCATGTTCCAAGCCGGCCCTACGCGCCTGCGCGAACGAACACCCAACTTCATCCAAGTACATACCCCTGTTAGCCGCAGCGAGGTGCAGGCACTAGCAGAAGCACGGAAACGATGCAAATTGTCCTGCATACGAATCACTTGGTTCACACAGTGCAATGACCGTGTGCATGGCCACTCTTGAGAAGCTCCAGGGATTTAGGAGTTGGTGAACGCCATCCAGGTCAGCGAAATCTCCGACCTTCACATCCCGACCGCTTCATGTCAGATTATCACCATTTTGCATACATGTAGGAAGGTTTAGCTTTGTTCCCCCCATGGGTGGGCTTCAGAGTCATGGGACCCAAGATCTAGTGGCAAAAGTGGACCTGTTATGGACCACCTTTTTGTTTTGACACGTGTTTTTGCCTGTACACGGTAATCAATACACATATTTCTGGCTTTTGATTTTGGATCAAGCCAATTGGAAGCTACGAATTTCAACCAGAAGCAGTGCCTATCAATAGATAAGTCATGCGTTGAACCAACTGTATCCAATTTTTTGCATGGGGCATGTGTTTTCTTCTCTCTTTGTTGGGTAGTGAGGGCCAGCAGCGAAGATGGTGCGAATCAGTGTGCTGCGCGATTGCCTCAACAACATTGT